ATAATACTAATAATAGTAATACACCTTTATAATTATATATTTTATATATAATTATTTAATATATTGTATGTATATAATAATATACTATGATAATATAGTATTAATATGATATTATATATATTTATATTACATGTAATATTACTAATAATATTACACTGTAATGGTGTAATACAATATAGTAATATATAATACTGATATTGTACTATGCTAATAATTTATTTATTTATTTATTTACTTTATTTGTATCCCGCTCTTCTCAGCCCTCAGGCGACTCAGAGTGGTTAACAACAGTTTCGGTATACACAATACAAAATCATTAAGCATTTAAAAGCGATAGCATCACAAATCATTAAACATCAATATCAATACATCAGTACATCAATATAGCAAATCCATCAGGTCTCATCAATGAAATCAGAATCCAAACTCGTTCTCCGATATTCCGTGTTCCGATAGTCAGTCAATCAATCACTGACTATTAGTTGAATGCCTGTTCAAACAGCCAGGTCTTTACTTTCCTCCGGAATGCCAGCAAGGAGGGGGTCGATCTAATATCTGCAGGAAGGGCGTTCCACAGCCGAGGGGCCACCACTGAGAAGGCCCCGTCTCTCGTCCCCGCCAGGCGTGCTTGTGAAGCCGGCGGGATCGAGAGCAGGGCCTCCCCAGACGATCTTAATGTCCTAACTGGTTCATAGGAGGAGACACATTCGGACAGGTAGGTCGGGCCAGAACCGTTTAGGGCTTTAAAGCCAGCACTTTGAATTGTGCCCGGTAGCAAATTGGCAGCCAGTGGAGCTGACGCAGCAGTGGAGTGGTGTGCTCCCTGAGTGCCACTCCTGTTAGCATCCTGGCTGCCGATCGTTGGACCATTTGAAGCTTCCGAGCAGTCTTCAGAGGCAACCCCACGTAGAGAGCGTTGTAGTCTAAACGGAATGTGACTAGAGCATGGACTACAGTGGCCAAGTCAGACTTCCCAAGGTACGGGCGCAGCTGGCGCACTAGTTTTAACTGTGCAAATGCTCCCCTGGTCACTGCTGAAACCTGGGGTTCCAGGCTCAGCGATGAGTCCAGGATCACACTCAAACTGCGAACCTGCGTCTTCAGGGGGAGTGCGACCCCATCCAACACAGGCTGTAACCCTATGCCCTGTTCGGCCTTGCGACTGACCAGGAGTACCTCTGTCTTGTCTGGATTCAATTTCAATTTGTTCGCCCTCATCCAGACCGTCACAGCGGCCAAGCACTGGTTCAGGACCTGAACAGCCTCCTTAGTAGTAGGTGGAAAGGAGTAACAGAGTTGGACATCATCCGCATACATATGACATCGTACCCCGATATCTATATATATAAATCTGCTAGGCGAGTCCAACGGGACAGCAAAACTCTAAAATCCCCCAACAAAACTTAACCAAAATTCCCATGCCCATAACACAACCCAAAAGGTACAAACATATCTACTCAAAATGAAAAACAACACAACACACTCACAAAACGTCAAAACAACAAAACTAAAAAAAAACCCAATGAAACTTAACCAAAATTCCCATGCCCATAACACAACCCACAAGGTACAAACATATCTACTCAAAATGAAAAACAACACAACAACACACTCACAAAACGGCAAAACAACTGAGCATGCGCATTGGCGCCCAGCCGCAAGTTCCCTGGCGCGCGCACACAGCCTTCCGGCCAACGTTCCCTCTGCGGAAGCCATGCCCACTCCAAGCCCCGCTGCGCCGCTTCCCGCACACACACACCCCCTGCTGCACGCACACACGCAACCCCACGCTCCATCACTCCCCCCGCCACCGCACACACACACACAACCCCACACTCCATCACTCCCCCCGCCGCACACACACACGCAACCCCACGCTCCATCACTCCCCCCCCGCCGCACGCACACACGCAACCCTACGCTCCATCACTCCCCCCACACATGCAACTCACTCTCCATCACTCCCCTCTGCCGCCGCACACACACACGCAACCCCCCCCCCACCGCTGCACACACACACGCAACCCCGCTCCATCACTCCCCCCCCGCGCACACACACACAACCCCACGCTCCATCTCCCCCGCTGCCGCACACACGCAACCCTACGCTCCATCATTCCCCCGCCGCCGCACACACACGCAACCCCACGCTCCATCACTCCCCCGCCGCCGCACACACACACGCAACCCCACGCTCCATCACTCCCCCCACCGCTGCACACACACGCAACCCCACTCCCCCCGCCGCACACACACACGCAACCCCACGCTCCATCACTCCCCCGCCGCCGCACACACACACACAACCCCACGCTCCATCACTCCCCTGCCCAATCTTACCTCCTTTTACTTCACGCCACCTCCAAACCCCACCCCGCCCCTTCCTGCCCTGTCAAAATCCAGGAAAGACAGGAAGGAAGGAAAGAAGGAAGAAAGAGAAAGGGAGGTAAAGAAAAAGGGGGAAGGAAGGAAAGTTAGAGAAAGAAGGAAGAAGAAAAGGAAAGAAAAGATGGAAGGAAACAAAAGAGAGACAGCAGAAGAGAAAGAAAAAGGGGGAAGGAAGGAAAGAGGTAGAGAAGGAAGAAATGAGAGACAGAGGGAGGGAAAGAAAAAGGGGGAAGGAAGGAGAGAAGGAAAGAAAAAAGGGAATGAAGGAAGGAAAGAGGGAGTGAAGGAAGGGGGAAGATGTAGAGAAAGAGGGAGGGAAGGAAAGAAGGAAAGAGAGAAGGAAGAAAAGAGACCAGAAGAGAAAGAAAAAGGGGGAAGGAAGGAAAGAGATAGAGAAGGAAGAGGAGAAGGAAAGATGGGGGGAAGGAAGGAAGGAGGGAAAGAAGGAGAGAAAGAGGGAAGGTTGGCCACAGCAACACGTGGTGGGTAAAGGTTGTTATTTCTATGATTATTATGATGCTATTATTCCTCTGAGACCCTTTTAGGGGGAATGGGAGAGGTGTCAGGTCCCAGAGGCAATGCATTGCATTATTGTTATTGTTATGATGGTGGTGAAATAAAAGGAAATAAAAAGAGAAAGAAGGAAGCAAACAGGGAGGGAAGAAAGGCAAAGGAAGAAAGGGGGAGGGAATGAAGGAAAGAGAGAAGGATGAAACCAAGTAGCGAAAGAAGGAAAGAAAGAAAGAGGTAGAGAAGGAAGAAAGGAGAGAAAGGGGGAGGAAAAGGGGGAAGGAATAGGTAGGGACCTCTCTTTCATAATAGTCCAGATATCTACCTCAACTTTGATAAGTTTTACTATAGGCCACAGCAACGCGTGGCAGGCACAGCTAGTAATATATTATATATTATAATATATTATAATATATTGTATGTATATTATATACATACAATAATATATTGTATGTATATAATATGTTGTTGTTCATGCGTTCAGTCGTCTCCGACTCTTCGTGACCTCATGGACCAGCCCACGCCAGAGCTCCCTGTCGGCCGTCACCACCCCCAGCTCCTTCAAGGTCAGTCCAGTCCCTTCAAGGATGCCATCCATCCATCTTGCCCTTGGTCGGCCCCTCTTCCTTTTCCCTTCCACTTTCCCCAGCATCATTGTCTTCTCTAGATATAATAATATACCATAATAATATAGTAATAATAATATATTATAATTATATATTTATATTACATGTAATATTACTATTAATATTACAATATAATGGTATAGTACAAAAATAGTAATATTTAATACTGATATTGTACTATGCCAATAATATAATATATTGTATGTATATATATCTTGTAAGCCGTTCTGAGTCCCCTTCGGGGTGAGAAAGGGCGCCATATAAATGTCGTAAATAAATAAATAAAATATAAGACATCATAAAACATGAACCAAACCAAACATCAACCAACCAGTAGCCAAGAGAAGTGGGCAAGTGCGGATTTGAGACTAATAGCGCAAGACAGTGGCTTGTGCAAACACAAACTGTGGGGCCAGGACTGGGAATAAAGTGCTGGGGATCTAACCAGAAAATCAGGGCTAGGCAGACTTAATCAATAGCTAAACCATTTATTTACTTACTGTATTAATACCCTACCCTTCTCAGCCCCATAGGGAACTCAAGGCAGCTTATATATATAGGCAACAATTAGACGTCAAAAAACACACATAATAAAAAAAGTATTGAAACAATCATTAAAACATAATAAAACCTTAAAACCAATTACAGTATATTCTGGCGTATAAGACTACTTTTTAACCCAAGAAAATCTTCTCAAAAGTCAGGGGTCGTCTTATACGCGGGTGTAGTCTTATGCATGGGAGTTGTCTTAACTCTATATTTTAACTGGAAAAGTTGGGGGTCGTCTTATACGCCCAGTCGTCTTATATGCCGGAATATACGGTATTTAAAATCATGCAATCTATGGCCGTCCCAATTTGTCGTTGCACTGCTAGATTACTCATTGAACGCTTGGTCAAGCATCCACATTTTTAGGCTTTTCCTAAAGGTAAGGAGGGAGGGTGCTGACCTAATTTCACTCAGGAGAGAGTTCTTACCCAAAGGGCCACCACTGAGAAGGCCCTGTCTCTCATCCCTGCCAACCGTGCCTACGAAGGGGGTGGGACCAAGAGCAGGGCCTTCCTGGCAGATCTTAATCTCTGGGTTGTTGTAGGGTTTTTTGGGCTATATGGCCATGGTCTAGAGGCATTTTCTCCTGACATTTCACCTGCATCTATGGCAAGCATCCTTAGAGGTTGGAACTAGGAAAATGGGTTTATATATAGAATCCTAGAATCCTAGAGTTGGAAGAGACCTCATGGGCCATCCAGTCCAACCCCATTCTGCCAAGAAGCAGGAATATTGCATTCAAATCACCCCTGACAGATGGCCATCCAGCCTGTTTAAAAGCTTCCAAAGAAGGAGCCTCTGTGGAATGACCAGGGTGGGATAAAGAACTCTTGTCTGTTGGAGCCAGGTGTGAATGTTTCAACTGACCATTTTGATTAGCATTTGATGGCCTGGCCTTCGACAATAGATCTTAATCTCCTTGCTTACCTTCTCTAGGCGCCCCGTGCTGTAAAGGGCCAGGTCAAAGTAGCCGGGAGCCTCCAGCAGGGAGACCATCTTCTCAGCGTCAGCAGAGAACTGCCAAGAAAACAGGGAGACCTTAAGCCCTCAAGGGGGAAATCTGTCCCCTCCCAGGGGAAAGTGACCCCACACTTCCTGCGCCAGTGTCCAATTGTGAACAGAGTGCTCAGAGGCACAGAATGAAAGCTCCTCCGAAAGGGAAGGGGTTGTGCGTGGAGCGCCATACGTGGGTCCCGTCTCACCTTGGCGATCAGTTGAGGCAGCAGCGGGATGAGGTGCTGGGTGAGCCTCCGGCGGTCCTCCGCTTGCGTCTTGCGCTCCCGGGCAGAGACGACCTGGCAGAGCAGAAAAGCGGAGGAGGGAAGGAGACCCCCAGAGTACATGGCTAGGAGACGACTCATCCACCTGGACTCTCTCCCTTTCCCTTCCCTGCCACCCTGCTAAATACCTTCTTCCCAGAGGCCCTGCCGACAGGCGGCTGCCCCTCTGTGGCCTGGCGCATGCTGGCCACTAAGATCATGATGAGAGCACCCTCCTGCCGGTCGCCCAGTCCTAGGAAGAGAGGAAGAGTCAGCTAGAAGCCTGGACCAACACCCCTTGGCACATTGTGGGCAAACCGGGAAGGGGGGGAGCTGGGAAGGTGTGTAAGGCCCCCTATAAAGACTTCATCCTTCCCCCACAGACAAACACATATGAAGGAGGGCAGGGTGGTCTTGAGTGGTCCTCTATAAAGACTATGCAGATGGCAATACGATCAATCCCACCATCTGACACCAATTATAAAGGCACGTCGTGTGGCCAAACAATATAACTGGACAGGGGGCAAACAGATCCCACCACTGTCCCTCCAAAATAAAGACTTCACTGGCACCTATATAACGTTTGAGGAGATGTCTCTTTAGTTAAACTTTCGCTGCCACCATAAACTAAATGAACAGGAACGCTCTAGCTGGTTAAACTGTTAAAAGGCTTTTCAGACCACCAAGTACTGTGTGTTTTCCTATGTGTTTGCTTATTTAAAGGGAAACAGGTGAGGTTGAAAAGGAAAGAACTATAGCCACAAAGGCACACTGGACTCAGGCTTTTAAGTTGTAAAATAAACAAGAAAAGTTTATTTAATATAGTACAGAATGAAGTGAATGCAGTTTAATAAGCTTGGCTGTTACAGATAAAATGTTTTAGTTCTTGTAAGCGTAACGGTTGCAATGAGAATGGTCCTTTCTTTGTTACAAATATAAAACCCAGCTATTTTTCTCTAAATAGCTGTTCCCAGTTTGCCACAGCTCACTTGGCTGGCAAACTCCAGGCAAACTGCCTATTCCTAACCCGAACTCCTAAAAGCTTCTGTAATCCTGCTCTAACTCTAACATCAACAGACTGACTGACTAAAGAAGCTTCTTTCTTTCCCTCCAAACAGTCCAACTCCGCCCCCCTTTAATAAACCAATCCTGGCTGCTCTAAGGCTGGCTCAGGCCTAGGCCACTCCCCCTCTCTGAAATGGAGCTTTCCCTAAACTAAAATGGCTCCTGCTGCCCTCTGCCAGGCCTTCTAAGCTGAAACTAACTAGCCTGCCTCTCCTAGGCCCTGCCACCCAGGCTGGCAAGGTAAGGGATCTTCACATTCCCTCCCCACCTCAAGATGGTTTGCGGAGTGAAAAGGTTTGCAGACCTTTTCCGAAGCAAAGCCTAACAATATCCTAGGCCTAACTAACCCCTCTAACTAATCTATCTATCTAATCTATCTATCTATATACATACCCACATTTAAATACATTTTGCAATACTCACATCTGTAATAAACACAATTTGCAATTCAATATATACCATATGAAATCAATGCATTATACACAATAAATACATTCCTGTAGGGAAAAAAAAACATGTTAAATACATTACAACAATTCATATAAACAATCTAACATAGCAAATACAATACCTTTTCTAATCCTAATCTTTACCTTAACTCATGGCTCTGGACAAATTATCAGCGATGACCTTCTGAGTATTTAAATGAGGCCACTCTAGTATTGTTTATACTTTATATACATCTGGCCACATATTGTCTCCTGACATTCTATGTGCATATAATCTCAATACTTTAATATACAAACATTAATCTTTTAATACCATCAATACTCTTATCTATATACATCAATATTCTAATATCATCAAGAATCCTATACTTATGAACAAGTTTAAATAATCTGGAGAGATTTAAGTCTCTGTATCTAAACAAAAATCATTTCATTAATAAGAGACTTTCTGTCCTCTATAAAGGTTATAACACAGTAGAAGGAATTTCTTTTTGTTATATGAACAACCTATACACACCTTTCTATATTTATATAATGACTTTTTAAAATACTTTTTGTCTCTTAGGACCTCTTTGCGGCAACACCAGAGGCACTCCAAGTGGCCAGATACTGGTCAAAGGACATTTAATAAGCTACCAAGTTTGCAAAATGTGTATTTTTTTTTTATCTGTCTGTTTGTTTTGTTCTGTTAGAAATGTAATACAATGTTCTGGTTGCGGATGACACGATAAATAAATCCCAGCTGAGCTCCAGGAGGAGGACCAAGATGTTTCAGCAGAGAAAGAGCATCATATCCAGAGCGGCAATCCCTGCCAAAGCCCCTCCCGGCTCCTAGCTCACCTTCCAGGGGGGGCTCCTCCAGCAGGAGCCCAGTCAGCACCGGCCAGTCCTTCAGGAGCGGAGCTGAGCAGTCCCACAGGCTGTCCACCAAATAGGCTGCGTGGTCATGGAACTGAGGAGGCAAAGGAGGGAGAGCTGCCAGGGAAGGCCCCAACGGGTGCCCAACCACCAGAAGGGAGAGCCACAAAGATCACCTTTGCCAGGGCTGACATGCCGCCCAGCCCTCCCCCAAGCGCACAGGGGCCACAGCGGAGGCCACTCAGCAGCAGCCCGGGGCTCTCTCTCCCGAAGGATGTCACCACTGCTCAGCAAACCCCACCAGAATGCCTGGCTCACCTCACTTTCAATGAAAAAGCGGAGCAGAGACTGAAGGAAGGTGCGGGAGTCCTCAGTGCGTCCCTCGGCCTCTCCGCTGGCATGCGCTGCAGGTGCCAGCAGCCTGAAGGGCAAAGCATTGCCATCAGAGAGTCAGCAGGGAAAGGGAAGGCAGGGGCTGAAGAGGCCAGACCCTGGGGTTGGGGCAGCACTCACTTCCTGTATAAGAATTCCCCTGCGGCAGCAGCCAAGGGGCGGCCAGAAGCATAGACTAGCGGGAAGACACTTTCGCAGTCTGAGTCGGTCAGCACATCTTCCATGTTCCTGTGCAGAGAGACCAGGCCTCAGGGGCAAAAGGCAGGGGCTCTGCCCCACAAAAGCTCCCTCTCTCTGTCCCCAGGTTCAAGTGGAGGAGACGCCACTGTCAGAGGGCCTCTGTTGACAGGCAGTGCAGATGGCGCCAAGGGAAAGGGCGCAGGAGAAGGCCACTTCTACTCACAGGAGACCCCTCCCCCCAGCAGCATTGTCCCAGGGCCCTACTCACTGGAGGATGAGGGTGAGCAGCCGGACTGCCTCCACTGCCACCTGGAGCTCCTTGTCCAGCACCATGGACACCATCCGCTCCTGAGAGGGGGAAACAGCAGAGGGACCAGAAGAGCAGGCTGGCTCTCTGTGTGTGCATCTGAGCTCCCACCCAAGCGTGGCCAAGTTTTGACACCAGAGAAAGGTGTAACACAAAAGGGAAAAGGCCTCTTTCTACATGACTCTGCCTGTCCGTTAATGGTCTCCCGGGTCCCACATCCTGAGGCTGAAGGGCTCTTTATGAGGCCAGGCCACATCCTGACAGGCCCCACAAAGCTTTATGGCTTTCCTTTTGCCTTTGGTCCCAAGATTTATGTATTTATTTATTACATTTGTAGCCCGCCCTTCTCCCCACAAGATCAGGTTGGCAAGCTCCCTGCCTCCATCTCCCACACAGCATTCATTCCCTCCTGGATTTCTTTTGACTAGGCTTTCGGCAACCCCTGGTAGTACAGCGGGTTAAACCGCTGAGCTGCTGAACTTGCTGACCGAAAGGTTGGCAGTTTGAATCCAGGGAGTGGGGTGAGTCCCGCTGTTAGCCTGTTTTCTGCCAACCTAGCAGTTCAAAAACATGCAGTGAGTCGATCAATAGTTACCGCTTCTGCAGGAAGGTAATGGCACTCCATGCAATTATGCTGGCCACATGACCTTGGAGGCGTCTACGGACAATGTTGCTTCTTTGGCTTAAAAATGAAGATGAACACCACCACCCAAAGTTGGACTAGACTAGACTTAATACCAGGGGAAACCTTTTATCTTTACCTTTGGGCAATAGCCAGACAAGTATGGCCCTTTGGATGGACCAGGAAACCCTTGCGAGCAGGAGGATGCAACAAAAGGCTGTGGCAATAGGAATAGGATGGCCTACCTCCATGAAGTGACTTCACAAGCCCCTCACCACATTCATTCCGAGCCCAGTGCTCATCAAATGCCTCTCACCTTGAAGCGGCTGGTGAAGAGCTCCATGCCGGCCGCTGTCTCCTGGCTGCGGTAGAGCCCTTGCAGAGCCAGCAGGCACTTGAGGCGGACCTCCCCTTGCTGCAAGGAATAATAGGGAGAGCCTGGGAAAGGAGAGACCTGCAGACAGTCGCTGCTTGTTCCCAGAGCGCCTTCTGAAGGGATGACCAAGACCAAAGATGGGAAAGAGCCCCAGCCAACTTGCTCATAGCTCAGGACTGGGACCTGTTCTGCAACTGCTCTGACAAGAGGAGTTTCACAGGGGCTAGAATCAAAAGGGCCTCACTCCCCTATCAGTTTACTACACTTCGCAGATCAGGCCTGCAGATCGGGAGCCCAAATTTCCTAATTTCCCATTTTGCATCCTAATCTCTCTTGCCAAAATGGCCCTGGGGTTACTTGATAGCAACACCACAAACATGACCAGCAAAATGGCAGGCAGCATGCTCCAAGGAAGCAGGCAGAAGGACATCCTGCTGCACAGAGGGAAGTCCAGCTGTTGTGGCCTGTTCCACCCCCCCCCCCAAATCATCCCCTCCTGCCCATTTGCCAAGTGAGAAAGGGCCCCAACATCGCCCCAGAGTAAGTCATCCACACTAGGCTTGAAGGATGTTCATCCAGGTGGATGAACACAAGAAGCCTTGGCCTTCCCTGGGAGGCCCTGAGCTCCTTCTCATCTGTGAGCAGAACCTCTTTGATGTGGAACGACCCCACTGCTGCCACCCCCCTTTCCCACCTGCTCCCCACCTTGTCATGCAGCGTCCAGCCAATGTACTTGAGGTAGCCATCCGTCAGGAAGGAGGTGCTGTAGTGCTGCATCCACTGGCCCATCTCCTCAATGCAAATGGCACGGATTTCAGGGACCAGGTCGCTTCGCCAGCAAATAACAAGGAGGGATTAGGCCAAGCACACCAGTTCTCCTCAGGCATCTCAACATGGGCCAGACTTTCCTTTCTCACACTTAAATGCAGCACCCAAGAAGTATAGCTTACAAGCTTTCAGGCTGAAACACTGGATATGATGCTGGTGAGGACAGAACCGAGTGGGATACAGAGTTGGAGGATCTTTTGGAAGCCAACCAATGGCACACTGCCCTAGACTTGCTGTCTAAAATATCCTAGATCTAAAAAGATGCTTTCTTCTGCTAAAAGAACCCTGTTATTTCATGCGTATTGAGCACCACCTAATCACAGGAAGCCCCAGATACTTCAACTCAGAGTGGGATGATGTACCGTATATACCCACGTATAAGCCAAGTTTTTCAGCCTTTTTATAAGGCTGAATAAGCCCCCCTCAGTTTATACTCAAGTTAAAGTTATTTATTATTTTACTCTGTTGTTATTATTTTTATTACATTTATTATTTAATTGTATTATTATTATTACATTTATTATTTTACTGTATTATTATATTTATCATTTTCCTTTTTTATTATTACATTATTTTAGTCTATTATTATTACATTTACATTATTTTACTCATTATTATTTTTATTACACTTATTATTTTACTTTATTATTATTATTATTACATTTATTATTTTAGTCTATTGTTATTATTATATTGAATTATTTTACTCATTATTATTTTTATTACATTTATTATTTTATTATTATTGGAAAGATACATAAGCACATTTACACTGAATAATGTTAGAATAATGTTTGTTATTTTACTCTGTTATTATTACTTTTATTGCATTTATTATTTTACTCTATTACTATTATATTTATTATGTTATTTTATTATTACATTTATATTATTTTATTCATTATTATTTTTATTACCTTTATTATTTTGCTCTATTATTATTATTATTATTGGGATACATGAATAATGTCTCTGTTATTATTACTTTTATTGCATTTATTATTTTACCCTATTACTATTATATTTATTATGATACTTTATTATTATTACATTTACATTATTTTACTCATTATTATTTTTATTACATTTATTATTTCACTCTATTATTATTGGAAGGATACATAAGCACATTAACACTGAAAGTTAGAATAATGGTTGAATCAGAGTTGGGCAGTCTTACCTTATAGTTTTATGTAAATATTCAAAAACATTCAACCTCCTGATGCCTCAATTAATGTAATTTTATTGGTATCTATTTTTACTTCGAAATCTACCAGTAGCTGCTGCATTTCCAACCCTCGGCTTATACTTGAGTCAAAGTTGTTTATTATTTTACTCTGTTATTACTTTTATTGCATTTATTATTTTACCCTATTATTATTATATTTATTATGCTACTTTATTATTATTACACCTACATTATTTTACTCATTATTTTTATTACATTTATTTTACTCTATTATTATTATTATTATTATTATTATTATTATTATTATTATTATTACTGGAAAACATGAATAATGTCTCTGTTATTATTACTTTTATTGCATTTATTATTTTACCCTATTACTATTATATTTATTATGATACTTTATTATTATTACATTTACATTATTTTATTCATTATTATTTTTATTACATTTATTATTTTACTCTATTATTATTATTATTATTATTATTATTATTATTGGGATACATGAATAATGTCTGTTATTATTACTTTTATTGCATTTATTATTTTACCCTATTACTATTATATTTATTATGATACTTTATTATTATTACATTTACATTATTTTATTCATTATTATTTTTATTACATTTATTATTTTACTCTATTATTACTGGAAGGATACATAAGCACATTTACACTGAATAATATTAGAATAATGGTTGAATCAGAGTTGGGCAGTCTTACCTTAAATTATAGTTTTAAGTAAATATTCAAAAACATTCAACCTCCTGATGCCTCAATTAATGTAATTTTACTGGTATCTATTTTTTACTTTGAAATTTACCAGTAACGGCTGCATTTCCCACCCTCGGCTTATACTTGAGTCAAAGTTATTTATTATTTTATTCTATTATGATTACTTTTTTTGCATTTATTATTTTACCCTATTATTATTATATTTATTATGTTACTTTATTATTATGACATTTACATTATTTTACTCATTATTATTTTTATTACATTTATTATTTTACTCTATTATTATTATTATTATTATTATTATTATTGGGATACATGAATAATGTCTCTGTTATTATTACTTTTATTGCATTTATTATTTTACTCTATTATTATTATATTTATTATGTTACTTTATTATTATTACATTTACATTATTTTATTCATTATTATTTTTATTACATTTATTATTTCACTCTATTATTATTGGATGGATACATAAACAAATTTACACTGAATGTTAGAATAATGGTTGAATCAGTTGGGCAGTCTTACCTTAAATTATAATTTTATGTAAATATTCAAAAACATTTAACCTACTGATGCCTCAATTAATGTAATTTTACTGGTATCTATTTTTTTACTTTGAAATTTACCAGGAGCTGCTACATTTCCCACCCTTGGCTTATACTTGAGTCAAAGTTATTTATTATTTTACTCTGTTGTTATTACTTTTATTGCATATATTATTTTACTCTATTATTATCATATTATGTTACTTTATTATTATTACATTTATTATTTTACTCTATTATTATTATATTTATTATGTTACTTTATTATTATGACATTTACATTATTTTACTCATTATTATTTTTATTACATTTATTATTTTATTACTATTGGAAAGATACATAAGCACATTTACACTGAATGTTAGAATAATGGTCGAATCAGAGTTGGGCAGTCTTACCTTAAATTACAGTTTGATGTAAATATTCAAAAACATTCAACCTACCGATGCCTCAATTAATGTAATTTTATTGGTATCTATTTTTACTTTGAAATTTACCCTCGACTTACACTCGAGTCAATACGATTTCCCAGTTTTTGTGGTAAAATTAGATGCCTCGGCTTATATTCAGGTCAGCTTATACTCAAGTATATACGGTAATGTGTGCACTAGATAGGGATATTCATTGGTCGCTTCTTCTTGGTTAGAAGTACTTTACTATAGGTAAATACACGAACAGTATTACATAATGTCACTGCCATATGGAGTTTTACAGCCAACCAGGGTGGCTAAAAGGTTTCTACTTCAAATAAATGCCTTCTAAGACACATGGTTAACTTACATTGAGGTATAAACACAGATTTTCTAATCCCCCTTCTTTCCTTGCATTTATGCTATTAAAAATAAGAATGCTAAAAAAGTTGGGGGTTTATGGCTTTGCCCCCTTTTCTACCCGCACTTTGCCCTCAGCCTGCTCACCGGTAGCGATGGACAAAGACACCCTTGAAGATGGCGTTCATCAGGCTCTCAAGCTCTTCCTGTTTTTGTTGAAACTGGGAAAACATGAAGGCAGGGGGAAAGAGGTTATGCCCCTCGTGCTACTACTAGCACACCAACAGAAGCACGTCCCAGAGATAAACAGGGGCAAGGGATCCGGCTATAAACCCTTTGGTAGTTGGGCAAAGTCCCTGGAGAAAGGAGCCCCAAAACACAAGGTGCCACAAAGAAACAGGACGAGGGAGCTGGAAGCTGGCCCTTTACTGGACAAGGCTCATCATCCGAGCAGAAGTGCCTCAGAAGCTGTAACTAAGGAAATATTGACAAGCTGGAATGTGTCCAGAGGAGGGTGACTAAAATGATCAAGGGTCTGGAGAACAAGCCCTATGAGGAGCGGCTTAAGGAGCTGGGCATGTTTAGCCTGAAGAAGAGAAGGATGAGAGGAGATATTACAGCCATGTATAAATACGCAAGAGGAAGCCACAGGGAGGAGAGAGCAAGCTTGTTTACTGCTTCCCTGGAGACTAGGACGCAATGGAACAATGGTTTCAAACTACAAGGACATTCCATCTGAACATGAGGAAGAACTTCCAGACTGTGAGAGCCGTTCAGCAGTGGAACTCTCTGCCCCGGAGTGTGGTGGAGGCTCCTTCTTTGGAAGCTTTGAAACAGAGGCTGGATGGCCATCTGTCAGGGGTGGTTTGAATGCAATATTCCTGCTTCTTGGCAGAATGGGGTTGGGCTGGATGATGGCCCATGAGGTCTCTTCCAACTCTAGCATTCTAAAGAACAAACTGCAGTGAGAGACTGTTTATCCTACAGAAGACATGAGAGCCATGTTTAATTATCTGAAGGGATGTTATAAGAAAGAGGGGAGCAGGCTTCCTTTCTTTTGCCCTGGAGACTGGGACTCAAAGGAGCCGTGGGTTCAAAGTCTGTAAAGGATATTCCATCTGAACATTAGGAAGGACTTCAAGAGCAGAAGAAGAGTGGAACACTCTGCCTCAGAGTCTGGTTGAGGCTCCTTCTTTGGAGGTTTATAAACAGACGCTGGATGGCCATCTGTCAGAGTTGCTTTGACTGTGCTTTTCCTCCCTGGAAGAATGGGATTGGACTGGATGGCCCTTGGGGTTCCCTTCTAACTGTGATTCTATGATTCAACATGGGATGATGTCTCTCTCCCTAAGGTTCTGTGTAATTTCCTCCCGCAGGTGCAGAACGAGGGGAACTCACCTCTCTGCGCTGCTCCAGCAGCTCTTCCATTTTCTCTGTGGCCCTGCGGTTGAGTCCCTTGGCCCGCTCAGCCTCGTACTGCCGCTGACGGTTGTCTTTCTGCACGCTGACGCTCAGGGCCACGTGCACCAGGGCTGTCATCAGCTTCATGGCTGGAGGAAAAATCAAGGTGCCCTTGCACATCTCTTTCCGCAGCGCATCCCCTTCCCTCACCCAGCTACCCACCCGCTTCCTCACCTGCCAAGGTGCTGGTGTGGCGGAAAGCACGCACTTGTGAATCAGACATGCCAGTCAGCAGGGCCACAAGGCTGTCCATCAGGTACTCGTCGTAGATCACGCCATGCTGGGCCCGGCGCACCAGGACTGCGATCAGCTCACAGAAGCCCACCCGGAAGCGCCGCCAGGCAAGGCTGTTCAGGGACAGCGGGTACTCAGCTGATTCCTGCCAAGGAAGGAGAAGGTCCGGATGAGGAGTGCAGCGAGTGCCTCTGCGTCTCTCCTCAGAAACATAGCAAAGTCGTCCTGATGGGATCTCGCCTGACTCCACATCATACCTCTCACCTCATCAAAGGATTCAGTTTGGGATAGAATAGTAAAAACAGACAAAAAAATGATAAAGAAAATATACTAGCAACTATTAATTTGGTCCACAGAAACTGAACAAGTCAAGGAAAACATGACAAAATGGTCGAAAGATATAGGTAGATTAATAACAATGTCAAAGTGGGAGGAAATCTGGAACAGAAAGCTAAAATACTCATACGCATCAGAGCTCAAGGAGAATTGGTACAAAATATTCTATAGGTGGTACCTGACTCCTGAGATAATATCAAAGATCAACAAAGGGAAAATAAACGATGACTGCTGGAAATGCGGAAAGCATAAAGGCAATTTTTTTTCACATGTGGTGGAAATGCACAAAAATCAAGAACTTTTTGCATAAAATATATGAAAAAAATCAAAATAATCCCAAATATCAAATTCGAACTAAAACCTGAATCAATGCTACTAGGGATAACAGACTTCATTACAGATAAAAATACAGATTTTTTATTTTTATTTTACAACAGCAGCGAGAACCATCCTGGCTAAGGTATGGAGGTCTAGCAAAATTCCCACAGAAGAACAATGGATATCATGAGCATGGATATACTTACCCATAGAATCTCACAAAACTATATAAAACCTCCCAGAAAAGTTTCTTAAAATTCATAAAAAAAGAATACAAAGAAATCTATATTAATACGCTTTAAAAGAATCTTGAAGGTTGATCATCAAGAAGCCGCCAACTCAAGAAGTTATAGAAAAACCAACAATTATGATAATTTTTACTAACCTGGAAGATTCTGGAAGTTCTGCACTAATTTATTTCATTATCTTTTATAGGTTAGTTCATTTCTCTCATTCACTTTACTATATGGTATAGTTCCCACTCTTTCCATGTACCAATGGGAAATTCTAGTTTTCTCTCTTTCTTTCAGCTCCACCCTAGGGAGCAATACATTCTAAATCAGTGGTTCTCAACCTGTGGGTCCCCAGGTGTTTTGGCCTACAACTCCCATAAATCCCAGCCAGTTTACCAGCTGTTAGGTTTTCTGGGAGTTGAAGGCCAAAAACATCTGGGGACCCACAGGCTGAGAACCACTGTTCTAAATAAAAACAACTTTGAAAAAAAAAAGAGAGATAGCAAAGTCGTCCTGATGGGATCTCGCCTGACTCCACATCATATCTCTCACCTCATCAAAGGATTCCGTCAGCCGCTGGATGATCTCCGAATTCTGAAGGCCTCTGAGCATCTCCAAAGTCACCGTACCTGACAACGAGGGAGGGAGGGAAGGGCAAATGCCAGTCCACAGAACCACAAAGGTGGAAGGGACCCCAAAGGCCATCCACTCCAACCCACACAATCTGCTCTAAACCAATGCCCCCCCTTAAATGCCTCCAGAGAAGGAAACTTCAATGGACTCCCAGGCAGCGGCCAATTCCAATGTATCTGAACAGCCCTTTGATGTCAGGAAGCTCTTCCCAGTGCCAGAGGCATCTTGAGAGAAACACAACCCACCATGCAAAGCCTTTGGAGGCTGCAAACCTGTAGCTAGGCAGCCTGTGGTGGCTGAGGGGACATGCACCCACGCTCCTCACGCTCCTCAGAAACCCACCTTTGCAGCCACATGACTGCACCAAGAAGTTGACCAGCTCCAGGAACCCAGCCTCCTTGTCTTGCTTGTAGCCATCCAGCCAGTCATCCACCAAAGACTGGGAAAGAAGGGGCGGAAGGGGTGAGCGAGGCGCAGGTATGGTTGGCCAGAAAGGAGCAAGGCAAGGGCCCTGGCCCCACCTGACCCCCTTTGGCTATTCCCCACCCCCACCCCCCAGTGGCAGGACCCCTGGTGCCCTCCACTCCTACCCCCTTCCCCTGTGGCAACTGCCCCCCACTCCCACCACATGGGAATATTTGAGACCTACAACAGAGTGAAGCATAGCCAGAGCTAAAGACAAGTGAAAGGTTACACAAAAAAGTTTCCAAAGTGGATTCTTCATGTCTGTGTGCCAGGCCTCTAGAGGCAGAGAGAAGCCTGTTGGATTTCATCCCTGGACTGCACGAGTCTCTTGCGACATCAAGTTTCCAGTCCTCAATGAGTAGCTAGACTAGTGATAGGACTAAGCAGAGGTATTCCTTTCCTCACTTTATGATGCATGTTGCCCAAAAGGGTTTCTCTCTTTCTGCCACCCTCTGTCTCCCCACTTTGATGATATAGCAATTAAATTCTGTGACGGAAGTATTATTGCTTTGGTCTGGCCATGTGGCCATTCGCCATTTTCAAGTCTCTTCTGCCTTTTCTTCCTTCCAGCAAGGAGGCATTTTGCCTCTCTAGGCAAAATGTAGCTGCATGGACCTTTTTGACTTTTTAGCTTTCTTAGAAGGTGATCAGCTCCAAGACCTTTTCTATCAGGAATGTATTTCTTTTACTTCAATAAATACTTTTGAACCTAAAGTTCTGACTCTGCAATCCTGCACCAACCTAAGGAATAGCTCATCACATGTAAGTTTCTGCTGGTTATGAAGTGTACTTCTGGTACTCTGCTATATTTATGGTGGAATCACCCCAACTGAGGGTTATTTTTGAGCCTAACAGCTCAGATTCCCCAACAAGGCCTGATGGTGCTCCCTTCACAAAGGGTTGTTGCTGTTGTTATTTGTACTGCAGCAACCCAGAGCAGGAAACGAGACCATTAGATAACAATCCACCACACTTGACTGTGGGAAAAAACAATCCCTTTTTATTGATGAAAAATGGTTACAAAATAGAAGAAAATGCAAAGTCAAAAAGCCACAGTAAAATTCAGCAGTCAAGAATATCCAAGAACTAGATCAATATCCAAAAGCAACACTGTAAAAACCTGGAACCTGTTAGCAATCCACTAACCATACTTGGAGTACTAGAAGCCTCTTGGGATGTAGGCCACGAGAAACGGGAAATCTGCTAAGGTAATGCCTCAGTCTAAACTATGCCTGATCTAATGAGACAACCCAGCGAGTGGCACTTAAAACTGAATAAACTGTTTCTTGACACGCCTCCAGGCTTTGAAACCTGTGTTTCCTTTTCCCTTAATCTGCTTGACCTTCGCAGACTCTGTGATTCACTCCTGTTTTTCCAAATCTGTCTTTTTCTATCCTCATTAAGGAAGCCAGGTGTTAACTCCTCTGGAGAGATATCAACCGCTTGGCTCTGCAACATTCTCAACAAAATGTATAGTTTCACTTTCCAAGCCACTGACCTCAGTATCAACATTTTCATTGCCATCAGGGAAAAATACATGATCAGTAGCATCAGGAAATACAATCAGAAAATCAGGTACAGGTTCAGCAATCAGAGAATCAGGTTCAGGTTCACGCGCAGGCTGAACCCCAACATGTACTCGGCTTCTTCCCTCCAAAACAGAGAACCAAAGCAACAGTAAACACTAAAGTGATCCCTTCATGTGGACAAATAGTAGGACCCCTTGAGCTCTATGGATCTCTGCCAAGGGCCCTTCTTCATCCCAAAGCCCCAGAAGGGAAAGGCCCTACAGGACCCCCATTCCGTCTGCACCTGCTCACCTCTGCAGCACTCTTCCCTGAGGACACCGCCTGGAAGAGACTCCCTCCTGTTGCCTCTTCTTCTCCTCTTGCTCCTCCTTTGGGGTGCTTCCGAGAACCCTTATCCTCCTCTTCTGGGGCAGTCCTTCTTCTCCGGGGTCTCTTTGCCGCCTGAGGGGTGGAGGGAGATTAGTTTCTCACTCCTGGGGTCCCCTCCCCTACATATTCCCCCTTGCCTTCAACTGATGCACCAGCTGCGCCTCCTCCTTCCTAGAATAAGAGAACCTAAAGATGGTGGGGCACTGGTCACCTCAGGATGGACTCCTGATATGTGATGCCGTACATTGAGCTCCCTCTGGACCACGTTTGGAAACTACAGTTGGTTCAAAAAATGGCGGTCACACTGGTCAGAGGAACATTGGAAAAGTGGGAAAGAAAAAGGTACATTCTACCACACATGGTGGACTTGCAGCAAAGTAAAAAAATACTGGAAACAGATCCATGTATATCTTGAAAAAATGTTAAACAGAAATTTCAAAATGACACCTCAAATGTACCTTTTGAATATGCCCGAGGAAGAATTAGAAAGAAAATTTGGAAAAATTTTGTTTTATACAACAGTGGCAGCTCGAATAATATATGCTACATATTGGAAAACCCCAGAGATACCTCCTTTAGAAGAATGGGAAAAATATATTATAGATATGCTGATAATGGACAAAATAGCTGTATTATTACAAGGAGAACTATTAGATAACTTTGTTAATAAATGGCAACCAATGATTCAACACCTTAATGTAAAATTAAACTGAAAACGTATATAGAGGATCCTATAAGATTGTAGACAAGGAAGCGGATGTAAACTAAGAATCTATTATATTTTTATATGTATTACTAGCTGTACCCACCACGCGTTGCTGTGACCAACCTTCCCTCTTTTTCTCTTTCCTTCACTCCCTCTTTCCTGAATTTCCTTCTTTTTCCTTCCCCTTTTCTTTCTCTCCTGCTGTCTCTCTTTCCTTCTTTCCTTCCCTCCCTCTTTCTCTACATCTTCCCCCCTTCCTTTGCTCCCTCTTCCCTTCCTTCTCTAACTTTCCTTCCTTCCCCCTTTTTCTTTCCCTCCCTCTTTCTTTCTTCCTTCTCTACCTCTTTCCTTCCTTTCTTCTCTCTTTGCTTCCATGCCTCCTTCTCCCTTTCCTTCTTTCTTTCCCTCCCTCTTTCTTTTCTTTCTTTCTCCCCTTCCCTCCCTCTTCATTCCCTTTTTTCTGTATTCTCATTTAGGTTTTCATCATTTAGTTTTTTTGGACTTTTTAAATCCCTTCTGCTATGTTTTTCAGTGTTTTTATGAGTGAAGAACATACATTGGGTTGTTAGGTGTCTTGGGTACAAATTTGGTGTCAATTCCCCCAGTGGTTTTTGAGTTCTGTTAATCCCACAAACGTACATTACATTTTTATTTATATAGATTTAGATAGTAGACTGTGACCCCTTAATGGAAATATATTATCAGATAAATGATTATGGAACATTAATAGATAGAAAGTATTGCACAGTATGCAACAAACACTTTCAAATGTAAGTTTACTTTTAATTATTTAAATAAAAATAATAAAAAAGGAAAAAATGGCGGTCAAACTGGTCAGAGGAACATCCAGGAATGAGCATATTCCTCTCCCCCAATACTAGTTACTCCATTGGATGCCCATGAGTTTCCGGGCAAAGTACGAAGCATATTATTGGAGAACACAGAAATGCTGGACCACAACTAGCATGTCACAACTACACAGAGAAGCTATTGAAATCCAACAGCATGTGGAGAATTCCAACAGAAAGGGGAAAATCATGAAAATGAACAAAGTCTGGCTGCCAGTATTAGGTAAATGTAAAGGTTTTCCCCTGACATTAAGTCTAGTTGTGTCCGACTCTGGGGGGTGGTGCTCATTTTCTAAGCTGAAGAGCCAGCGTTGTCCGTAGACACCTTCAAGGTCATGTGGCCAGCATGACTGCATGAAGTGTCACTACCTTCCCACCAAGGCGGTACCTATTAATCTACTCACATTTGCATGTTTTCAAACTGCTAGTTTGGCAGAAGTAGGGGGTATCAGTGGGAGATCACACCGCTCCCCGGATTCTAACCTGCGACCTTTTGATCAGCAGCTCAGCAGTTTAATTCACTGCTCTAGTATTTAAAAACTCTAAAATCACGACAGTAAATGAAGAACACTCAAAACAGGGGTATTCCAGACAAGAATCAATCAGGGCCAGCTAACATTGCCCAACAAAGGATTTCCCCAGGGAGTAAGAAGACAGATATTGAAGCTGCGAGGCCATTCCATGCTAATCAAGATGGCCAATTGGAACATTTACACCTATCTCCAACAGACAAAGAGTTCTTTCTCCCACTCTGGACATTCCAGAGATATATACACTCCATTGTCCTCTTTTAGTTTGTAAAAAACCACAGAAGTGACTATTACATTTGATTGAATGAAACAACCCCCAAGAAACCTGATGAAGAATCTACTGTGGAAACAAAAACACAAAACACCCGGGGAACCTTGTTGTGTATTCCTAAGTTTGCTGAACACAATGCGAATTGTTTCCAAGTTTGATGTATTCAACGTGAACTTTATTCCCAAGTGTGTGTGTATTCCTAAGCTTGGAACACTACGGTGTATTCCCAAGTTTGCTGAACACAACACAAACTGTATTCAAAGTGAACTGCATTCCCAAGTTTGTGGAACACCATGTGAATATTTGTTGAAAACTTTATGGGCATACTGAAATTGGTCTATTTGACCTATGTAATTATTTTGTAAATCTTATATATTGTGTTTGTTGCACTATTAAAGTGTGTTCTGTATGTACTATGAGAGTTACTTAAACTGTTATCTATACTGAGGCACATTATAATAGGACAATTACATGTTTATAATTCATTTATAGATATCTTGGAGTCCTCGTGGACAACAAGTTAAACATGAGCCAACAATGTGATGTGGCGGCAAAAAAAGCCAGTGGGATTTTGGCCTGCCTCAATAGGGGCATAGTGTCTAGGTCCAGAGAAGTCATGCTCCCCATGCTCTATTCCGCTTTGGTTAGACCACACCTGGAATATTGTGTCCAATTCTGGGCACCACAATTCAAGAGAGATATTGACAAGCTGGAATGTGTCCAGAGGAGGGCGACTAAAATGATCAAGGGTCTGGAGAACAAGCCCTATGAGGAGCGGCTTAGGGAACTGGGCATGTTTAGCCTGAAGAAGAGAAGGCTGAGAGGAGATATGATAGCCATGTATAAATATGTGAGAGGAAGCCACAGGGAGGAAGGAGCAAGCTTGTTTTCTGCTTCCCTGGAGACTAGGACGCGGAACAATGGCTTCAAACTACAAGAGAGGAGATTCCATCTGAACATGAGGAAGAACTTCCTGACTGTGAGAGCCATTCAGCAGTGAAACTCTCTGCCCCGGAGTGTGGTGGAGGCTCCTTCTTTGGAAGCTTTTAAACAGAGGCTGGATGGCCATCTGTCAGGGGTGATTTGAATGCAATATTCCTGCTTCTTCGCAGAATGGGGTTGGACTGGATGATGGCCCAGGAGGTCTCTTCCAACACTTGGATTCTAGGATTCTAATTGTCTGGTTGCCCCTGACACGATAAATAAATATCCTAGGTTCTTGTGGGTTTTTTCAGGCTCTATGGCCATGTTCTGGAGGCAATTTTTCTCCTGACGTTTCGCCTGCATCTATGGCAAGCATCTTCAGAGGTAGTGAGGTCTGTTGGAACTAGAAAAATGGGTTTATATATCTGTGGAACGACCAGGGTGGGACGAAGGACTCTTGTCTGCTGGAGCAAGGTATGAATGTATTGTCAAAGGCTTTCATGGCTGGAATCACTAGGTTCTTGTGGGTTTTTTCAGGCTCTATTGGCCATGTTCTGGAGGCATTTTCTCCTGACGTTTCGCCTGCATCTATGGCAAGCATCCTCAGAGGTAGTGAGGTTTGTTGGAATTAGGAAAAAGGGTTTATATATCTGTGGAACGACCAGGGTGGGACGAAGGACTCTTGTCTATTGGAGCAAGGTATGAATATTGTCAAAGGCTTTCATGGCTGGAATCACTAGGTTCTTGTGGGTTTTTTCAGGCTCTATGGCCATGTTCTAGAGGCATTTCTCCTGACGTTTCGCCTGCATCTATGCGGGCTATATGGCCATGGTCTAAGGCATTCTCTCCTGACATTTCGCCTGCATCTATGGCAAGCATCCTCAGAGGTAGTGAGGTCTGTTGGAACTAGGAAAATGGGTTTATATATCTGTGGAATGACCAGGGTGGGACAAAGGACTCTTGTCTGCTGGAGCGAGGTGTGAATGTTTCAACTGACCACCTTGATTAGCATAGAAGGCCTGGCTGAGCCTGGGGGAATTTTTTGTTGAGAGATAAATAATTTTTTTATTGAGAGATAAACACGATAAATAAATAAATATCCTAAGTTCTTGTGGGGTTTTTTTTGGACTATATGGCCATGTTCTAGAGGCATTTTCTCCTGACGTTTCGCCTGCATCTATGGCAAGCATCCTCAGAGGTAGTGAGGTCTGTTGGAACTTGGAAAGGGGGTTTATATATCTGTGGAATAATGACCAGGGTGGGACAAAGGACTCTTGTCTACTGGAGCAAGGTATGAATGTATTGTCAAAGGCTTTCATGGCTGGAATCACTAGGTTTTTGTAGGTTTTTTGGGGGCTATAGGGCCATGTTCTAGAGGCATTTCTCCTGACGTTTCGCCTGCATCTATGGCAAGCATCCTCAAAGGTAGTGAGGTCTGTTGGAACCAGGAAAATGGGTTTATATATCTGTGGAATGATGACCAGGGTGGGACAAAGGACTCTTGTCTGCTGGAGCTAGGTGTGAATGTTTCAACTGACCACCTTCATTAGCAATAGAAGGCCTGGCTGAGCCTGGGGGAATTTTTTGTTGAGAGATAAATAAAATTTTTGTTGAGATAAACACGATAAATAAATAAATATCCTAAGTTCTTGTGGGGTTTTTTTGGGGCTATATGGCCATGTTCTAGAGGCATTTTCTCCTGACGTTTCGCCTGCATCTATGGC